TTGGGGGAAGGTCATATATTCTACTTCCGGGGGTCATTTGGCAGCTGAGCGACTGCCATTAGCGTTCTGGCTTCAGGTTTTATAGACCTCCTCGGTTGTAGGTAATATAGAGTGCAACAGTGACCTCCCAATTTTTTCAAGTGGTCTTGATTCAAATTTTCAACATTTGTTAAAAAAGATTCAGTTGAATCAGTATTATGTAACTATTGATTATTAAAGGGGTCATATGATGCAATTTCAAGTTTTCCTATCTCTTTGGAGTGTTACAAGCTGTTTGTGCATAGATAAGATCCCTAAAGTTGCAAAGACTAAAGTCTCAAACCCAAAGAGATATTCTATTTAAAAGTTAAGACTCGTCCACGCCCTCCTAAAACGCCTCGTTTAAACATGCCCCACATGTCTACATCACTGTGTGGGAAGATTTGCATAACACCGGCCAAATGTTCACGCAAAGAAAGAAGGCGTAGCTTTGATTCTCGCTGTAGTATTGCTGCCGCCACCGCCGCCGCCATATCGTGGAGACGCTGTGTGTTTCGTTGTGAAAGCAAAACTACTTTGTTTGGTCTTCCAAAAGAGGACACAACTAGAAATCAGTGGTTAAGTTGTATTTACAACACTGTTCCAGAACAGTTCAACCCAAATATTCAGATGTGTCCAGCGCATTTTACAGAGGACTGTTTCTTGAACCTGAGAGAGTAGCCTACAATGCCGTCTGTGCACAAAGGCTGTTTCTATAAAGTGGGGCAGTTCCAACTTTGCAAGGACAGTCTGGCGCTTCTGACTCACAGCCTGTAAGTACGTTTTCATATTTAAAGAATTTGCCACTGATGATTCAAATGCAGTTTTGAGAAGTGTAGAGTAGCGCTTGTTTTTTGTCGTTACTCCGATCACAAATGCAGACATGGTTTTATGTTTATGCGGCGCGATGCAACGCAGCGCAACAAATGCCTCGTTTATAATGGGTTTTAATGTTTTTGTCTCATCGCTCCGGCCGGGACACGGCATCACAGTATGTAAGGGGCATAGCATTTCCGTCACTCGCTTAAGGCATTCGGCCAATCACAATGCACTGGATAGCTGGCCAATCAGAGCACACCTCGCTTTTCAGAACGATGAGCTTTGTAAAAATCGACTCATTTCAGAAAGCCGGGGCATAGAGGAGAAACAATAATGTACAGTATGTGGAAAATAATGTTTTTTTAACTTTAAACCGCATAAACACATCGCATTACACCAAAAACACAAAATAATGTTATTTTTAGCAGCGTCATATGACCCCTTTAATCATTAACCTTAATACCATTAATTTGACATTTATTACAAAATATTTAATCTTAACATGTATAATTTGACTGAACAGGAATTTAATCAATAACATGTGCCGCAATTCAGAATTATTCAGAATTATGTAACATTGTGTAACACCTTTAAAGTGTTATCGCTAACAGTCAATGAGAAAATGAATGTCATTTTAATTTCCAAACTCCACTATTGCACTTTGGAGGGTAGGGTAGTGACTGATTAAAAAGGTTTATTGTGTTGTGTTTGGGGTTGATCAGATATCTGAGCGCTCTGCACATTTGTGCATCAGTCTCTGTACAACCAGGATGACAACAGAAAATGAATAATGCTGCATCAAACCGCAGACAGAGATACAATCAGAGCTCTGGGATTCTTTGTTACCTTTGTGATATTTGCAGATTGTTTTGTTGTGCAGCTTTGTGCAACACTTCAACACCTTCCACACAACTGTCACAGAAGATGCTGAGAAACTCGTTTTTTTCTAATTATCATATATTATAATTATTATATTTTATACTAATTATATATTTTAAAATGTATTTCATCAGCAGTCATTTCTCCAGTCTTCAGTGTCACATGATCCTTCAAAAATCATCCTAATAAGTTTATAATAAGTTGAAGAAACATTTCTTATTATTATCAATATTGAAAACAGTGGGTACTTCATATTTTTGTGTGATTTTTTTTTTCAGTATTCTTTAGTGACTAGAAAGTACAAAAGAACAGTGTTTATTTGAAATGGAAATCTTTTAAACATTATAAATGTCTTTACTGTCACTTTTGAACAATTTAATGCACCTTTGCTGAATAAAAGTATTCATTTCTTAAAAAAAAAAAAAAGTGAATGACTCCATATTTTTGAATGGTGTAGTATAAATATTACATGTTTTCTACCAGTTAATTCTGTACATGGACATAAAATGCACTAAAATTGCATTTCAAATGGTTGGAGATGTAGTATAACGACAGGACACTGCTGTCACTGCTTGAAATGTCATGTTAAGTACCCATTTTCTGTTAAAATGACTTATTAGCAGTCTGAGCTTCGGCCCTGGCCTCATGAATATTAATATTACCACCCCGACATGCAAACAAAGTAATGTTTGTTCTTGCCTGATGAATAATTTACTTGGTCTTAGAAGTGGTCACCGGTGTGCGAGTTCTCAAATAAGAAAGAAAACGTTTTTTTAAATCACGATTTAAACCTGGGGGTCAGACTGTACCCATTTCCTCCTGAGGTGAAATCCTTTGTGTAAAAGCATAAAACTCTTTTATATGGTCTCATGCTGATACGATCTCAGCAGCCATTCTACAAAAGCACACCGGCTCAAAACATGATGTATAATGTCATGTAAGTATAGAAGGAGAGTTCAAGTATGTTTAATCTCAAATGTGTGGCTTGTTTTTGTTGACACGAGTGATTTCATAATCTGAAATACACAGAATAAGGCTGCATGGATTGCGTGGGTCAAGTTTCACATTGTGGTGTTCAAATGTGGAAGGTGTTCAGCTTTATGGTCTATAATACTGTACACTAGGCCTCAGTCATCATCATTCACATGGATATGTGAAGGTCACAGGAATTGTGAGATGGCTGTGAGTGGGTGGAGAAGACCACATTTAGGTTGTATGTGATATTGAAGAAACCTTGGAAGGATTTGTTTTTCTTATTTGAAATCACATGGTCTCATTCCTGCTGTATCTGCAGCCATTAGGATAATGCTGTTTCAGAAACATCAGCTGCTATTGAGATGTATGGCAATGCTAAAAGAGCCCTCTCAGGTTTTATAGGCATCTTCACTGCATACAGTTGACGCAGGATGAAACACATCGTTTCTGCTCATGTAGACAGAATGACTTCATCAGTACAGGCAGAGCTGTCCAGTCCTGAGTGGAAATGTTTTCAGAGAGAAAGGCTCATTTAGCAGAACAGAGGGAGGCCGTGACATCAGCAGACTGAGACAAAAATATCTGGCAGCTGTGAAAGGCTTGGTGCCTGAATCACACTTTCCACAGCAGTTTTGATCAAATCCTCAGGCAGATACACATATACTCGCTAGATCTACATTTAACATGTGAATTTTATCTTTCATTCACTTGAAGTGGCATTTAAACAATACAGATTACACATATCATTAAGAAGTCATTTAAAAAGTTTTATTACACATTTATGTACAAATATATAATTTTTAGTTTTTTAAATATATTTAGTAATTATATACTAGTTATATATATTTTATAGAAAACAATTTTAATAAGTACCTGCTCCTTTCCAGTATGTTTAATTATTACAATTGTTTTTTGTTTGTTTTTTTAAATTACTAATGCAGTTTTATTATGGCCAGACCTGATACTGTCATTTCTAAGGACACAGCAAATCTTATTCCCATTATGGAAGGATATAGATTAATTTCTCAGTAATAATATCTAAACGGCTGTTTAGTCAGCATCCCATCCGAATGAATTTAGAGCCTGTGAAGATGATGATGATCGCTTCATTACCTCAACGCATTGGTCAGTCTATTTCACGGCCATGATTTTCATTAGCTAAGCAGACAGACTTTTTTTCAACAGCAGTGCTGCCCAGCTGAAATCTCTTGCTGAGTGTGTAAGCAATGGGTTACAAGCATTAAAAAAAACACAAACTGTCTGGACAAATATACAGTACAGGAGGTAAAATAGAGCCAGAAGAACCTGATGTTGCTTCTACAGTTTTTCCTCCTTCTGTTTTTGTTGTAGTTTAGGAGATGTGCAGTGGCTCCAGAACTATTTGGAAACTCTGGACAATTTGCTGAAAATTTGCACAAAAAATTTTTTACTCACCCTCAGGCCATCCAAGATGTAGATGAGTTAATATGAGTCCTCTATCCATAATATTGCTTTCTCCAGTGAAAAAGTCATCTTGTCTGAATTTGGAGAAAAATATGCACAGATCACACATTGTATACATCAAAAACAATTCTAAACAAATATGTTGGTGGATTTTGATGTGAAAGGACAACAGGGAATGAACTTTTTCACTGAAGGACGTTTTAGTATGGATTATGGACGTGTATTTTGGCCAGAAGCGACAGTTTAAAGTTAAAAAGCCTCAGTGATGGATTTGTTTTACGCAAACATACAGCTTTTCATCACACAAGACATTAATTGACGGACTGGAGTCGCGTTGATTACTTGTGGATTATTGTGATGTTTTTAGCAGCTGGTTGGACTCTCATTCTGATGGCGCCTATTCACTGCAGAGGATTCATTGGTGAGCAAGTGATGCAATGCTGAATTTCTCCAATTCTTTTCAGATGAACAAACTCCCACATCCTGGATGGCCTGAGGCAAATTCAGCAAATTTTCATTTTTAGGTGAACTATTCCTTCAAACCCCAGTTAAAATGTTTGAATGTCATCACATTAGATAACAAAATATCAAATCAAGTAGCATCTGCAAATAAATCATTTTCTAAGTTAGAACTAACTTCACCATTTGTGCTAATATATTTAAAGAACCTATGAAATCAAAATGGGAAATTTAAAACCCAACAAAGTTTTTCTTCAAAACATTGCTATTATTTTAACCAACTTAGACCACTCACTCACTGTCCCTCCCCCAACCAACCCCAGGGTTACGTTTATATTAGAACTTGTTCTCATTACATTAAGACGATAATCATGTATCTGATGTAATTCTCTTCTGCCTCTCCGCGCACAAAAGCAGCTGCTCTAAATAAGCCCAACGCTACTGGATGAACGCCAGGCTGCTGTCCAAAGTGTCCAGACGCGCTGAGGTTGGCTGGAGCTGTCCGCGGTGCTGAACCTCCACCGCGCAATCCGCTTATAACAGCCCGTGAGTCGAGCTCTCTCTGCGTTACTGCCGGAGTTCTGCGCGATTCACCGGGAAAAACGCGAATAGCTCATATGCTTACAAGACCTTACGGACGTTTTATTTGACGTTCGAGTGATTCTCACTGCATTGTTTAACACAAGGACAAATTGTAGTGTTTTCCGAGGAGTCTTTTCAGTATGTGCGTACGGATCGAGCTCCAAAAGAACTGGCTCTTTCTGCTGCTCATTCTGACTCTTTCAGTGATTTACACGCATTGTCAAGGTGAGTATTTTTAAGTACTTAAATCTACTAATGCTGCTGTATGTGATGGGCACAATGACTAACTGGGATTGTACTGTCTGGGGCTTTACTGGTAAAGGATTTCTTCACACACGCACACATGCCATTTACGTACAATAACAAATTACAAATATATTGAGACAGTTTAGGATATAGAGGTTTGTTGTTGATGTGTTGTACTTTAACAGAAATATCGCAGGACTGCATGAAGCCATCATGCATAAACTTCATCTGTAGAGTGTTGTGAGAAAGTAAAGGGCCGTTCACATTGACGCAATATTGCGTTAAAAAACAGACGCAGAGCTACAAAAATTACAAAAACCGTTTTCAAATTTAAACTACTAGCTTGAAACGGCGTTCATGGCGCTAAGAGACACAACGTCAAGTGTTTCTGTCTTGCAAACAATAAGTTGAACCCCATTTTTGTACAAGTTATACGTTTCAACAACCTCAAAAGTCAAGTCTGTCTTGGCAGCACTTTTTTTTTTAACACAAATAGACGTTTTGGCGAAACTAAAATCGCGTTAGTCTGGTGGTAACCACAGAAACAATACGCTTGATGCGATCGACGGTAGTAATTATCGGACGGAATGTTAACAAAAAAACAACGATAACTTATATTATCACATATACAATAAATATATTAAAAAGTATTTTAGATAACTGACGCCCGTAGCTAACAATTTACGTTGCTCGAGAGAGACGAACCGTATCATACTGCGCCTCGAAAATGAGATATTTTATCGAATCGGTAGCCTCAATTTGACCATTTCACGAGTCAAATATCGGCAAAGTGTTACAACGGACAGAGTGATTGTGCTGTGAGTCTCTGCAGCACAAGATAATGAGATTAATCCTGAAGATCAGATTACCCCCGTCCCGAACTGAGCTGTTTATGAAACTAGCAGAGTTGTGTTGTTTTTACGAGTTTAATAACTCAGCTTATTCGGGTCAATTTAACAGCAGTGCATTGTTTCGGTTTATTTAATTTAGTGACAGCATGTTTGGCGTCCATGTTGTGTTGGGATAATGAGATGCAGCCCTCCTGTACTATCCTGTGGGCTCATGTTTGCTTTATAAGTACAAATTCTGCAGATTTTCTGGGCTTATTTTAATGAGACAGCTGAAATTGCACAAATGAACTTTAACATTAATAAAATATGCACCCTTTTAAATAAGAAATTTTAATTTATGCAAGCTTTTAAAACTGACTGAATGCCAGCAGAGATAGTGATAAACATATAAGGTGGTTGATAACGTAGTCTAATAACTAAAGAAGCTTGATGCGATCGACGGTAGTAATTATCGGACGGAATGTTAACAAAAAAACAACGATAACTTATATTATCACATATACAATAAATATATTAAAAAGTATTTTAGATAACTGACGCCCGTAGCTAACAATTTACGTTGCTCGAGAGAGACGAACCGTATCATACTGCGCCTCGAAAATGAGATATTTTATCGAATCGGTAGCCTCAATTTGACCATTTCACGAGTCAAATATCGGCAAAGTGTTACAACGGACAGAGTGATTGTGCTGTGAGTCTCTGCAGCACAAGATAATGAGATTAATCCTGAAGATCAGATTACCCCCGTCCCGAACTGAGCTGTTTATGAAACTAGCAGAGTTGTGTTGTTTTTACGAGTTTAATAACTCAGCTTATTCGGGTCAATTTGATAGAAAAATATCTTTCTAGTGCTGCTTTGCTCACTGTTGTAAAGATCCGTACACTATACTGTCAAAAAGACATTTCTAAAGAAACTGATGCTTCTAAAAATGGCCTAAAACTTCCAGTGATATTTGTGTATCCCTCTGACTTGCAGGCATGCGCATTAGTGTTTTTCACTCATAGGACGTTTTTGTGTTTATTAATCTTGGTAAATCTTGTTGCACATTTTGGTATTAATCACATTCATTTGGCTATCAGCAAGAACAATGAGCTATTACTAAATGGTGCATGTTTTTCTGCATTGCATATTATACTGTACCAGATTCCTCCATCTGTGGTTGTTTTTTAATGTAATGTTTCCAAATTACAAAATGAGGTTTTATTATATTTAAAAGTGCATTTTAGGTGTTACATAGAGTTAATGTCACTGTATTATGCCTTATTGAGCTCTGAATTAGAGTTTTATAAGAAGTATTTGAGAGTGAAAGAGACTTTTAGGCAGCCGGAGGGAAATTTCTTTCTATTTCATGCAGAAGTATGTGAAGTAATTTTGAAGTGTGCGCTAGGTCTTTCCAAAGGTCTATTTCTGAATTCATTTCGCTGTAGCTTTCTTATCAGATCCTTTCATAATTCTGTGCAAGATTCATCCTCTCATATTCTGGCTGTTCAAAAACAGAAGCATGAAAACAGTCTGATGGTTTCAATTTCTGCCTTTCATACCTCTGATTTCAGGGGAGGGTTAGAAAATGTTCAACACCTGTTTTTTGGATTGTCGGTGATTAGCTTGATCAAGGGCTATTCAGAAGCTGTTAGTTGACAATTAGTCTGGCGCTTTGTCAGTTTATGGCTTGTAAATGAGAGTCATTATGGCGGAATGCTCTCTAATATCCTCATGCTGTCTGAACTCTGCAGGTAGGGCCAAGATGCTAACCATCCCTTCGCTGTCTCTCACAGAAAATCGAAAGATCAGGGTGTTTTGGGCTCTTCTAAGTGAACCTTTTCTCTGATGATGGTTTATGAACTTGCATTTGTTTCTAGTTTACACAGAAAAGAGAGAGGATCCAGAGGGGTAAATATACCAGTCAAACCATGATCCTTGGTTCAGAATCGTAGCTGATATTATTTCCAGTTCATTCATCAAATAGAAATGGGAGGTTAAAGGAATAGTGCATCCAAAAATGAAAATCTGCTTCGAATTAACTCACCCTCAGGTCATCAAAGATATAAATGATTACTTGTGGATTACTACACTCTAAAAAATGATTTCAGCACAAGAATCAGCACTATTTTGGTTAAAAGGGATAACAGAGAACGGTTGAATACACTTGAATTAAAATGTTACATTTAAATGTTAAATTTTGTTTCTAAAATGCTTGTTAAATGAGTTTAAATGTAATATTGTAAACTATGCTACATTGTTGTCCATTGGTGTTCTTGCTTATTAATAAATGTTCATCTTTTGATTATTGCTGTTGGCTCTAGAAATTCTGGGTAACCCAGCAATGGTTGTTTTTAACCCAGCATTTTTTAGAGTGTGGGATGTTTTTATCAACTGTTTGAACTCTCATTCTGATGGCACCCATTCACTGCAGAAGGTCCATTGGTGAGCATTTTCACCAAATCTGTTCTGAAAGAAACTCAGTAAATATTCAGTAAATTTTCATTTCTGGGTGAACTATACCTTCAAGTTGGTTGCATTGCATTGTGGCCTACAGCTTTGACACAAAAGCAGTAGTAAGCTTGTCCGAGATGGCCTTTTCTTCTAAAGAAAGACAGCAGAATATAGAAGACAGACAGCATAATACGTTTGAAACCATTTATTGCAGCTTTTTATCTGTGTGCTATCATGTAAAGCCCTTAAAGTCTGCCACACACATTTCCTTTTGTGTCAAAATGGCATTTAAAACACTTTTTAATTGGCACGCTGTGAAGGTTCATGTATTGATTTCAGGTGTTTTCATTTCAGCCTAAAGGGTGGCCAACATTGACTTCCTGGGCATCAATACCCACTGATCCTATTGAAAGCGCAAGGCTGAGGCTCTTTATATGCCAGGCACCTGCAGCCACACAACCATAAAATTGGTATATTTAAGAGGCAGATTAAAAGTTGATATTCTGACTTTTAAAATGCCACAAATTCACTGGCCTCCTAATCCCCCTCTTGTTATGTGTGACATTTCATTATTTGGTATCCTGATGGTTTCCTCGGCCTCTGATTCAGAATGCGCAGAGCAGGGTACGTCTTAACATGTACTGACGCTAAATAAGGATTTGTTTTTTTATGAAGGTTAAAAATTGTGTTCTGATTTCACTCTCTGCATTTTTAAATGCTTGTTTTTAATTTAATTTTTTATTTGAAGAAATGACAATGATCTCTATGAAGTTGTTTTAAAGAGTACTCTAATGGAATCTAACTAAAAGAGAAAAAACAAGCTTATTTACCAATGAAAAGCAGCTGTGCTCTCTGATCAGTTGGCGTAATTCCCATGTGTCATAAAATTGTGTGAGAGAGTGGTGGCCAGTGCTGTGCCTTCCATTGTCACCCCATAGTATGTTAGAGGAAATATCCAATATTCTCATATCAAACATTTCATCAACCCTTGATTGACAGTTACAACTACAACAAACCTATGCTTTTTTTGGCTTCTAAATGTGTATGAATCATGAGCAATATCAGAACTGTTTTTATTGAATCTATCAGGCAGTTTTTTTTTTTAATAAAGTTATAAATAATAATTTTATAGCTTTATAAGATTTTTAAAACCACATTTTAAAAATATTTTAAATATTTCTGTATATATTATATTAATATTTTTTTTAAATTTTTTTTTAATTTTTGCCCTAAGCTTTGGTTAATGTCTGACCATGAATAGAGTAGTAAAACAAATACACACCTTTCTGATGTGCAAGTGAAAGGAGGAAACCAAAATAAAAATTATAACTGCACACTACAAACTTTGAATAATAAATCATGTTTAAGGGCGTGTGCAGTTATTTTTTTCTTCATTTAATGTCTGACCATGGTCACGAGTCAGATGGTCAGATGATTATCCGAGACTTATGAACATAATTTAAGTGATTTGAACATTGAAGAAGACATCTCTTGAGTTTGTTTTTATTTAAATGCATTGCATTTAATTGATATTTGCTTTTAACATGAGCATGTTGTGATTATTGCTGAGAGTTTGTTAAAATTGTAAGTGCATATCTATGCTGTAATATTCTGTATATGAATTATCAAGGTTACACAACTGCTCTTTAAATAAAGTGACAGGGAATTGGTGTCTGCAGATTCCTTGAGCTCATTTGTCAAATAAGAGGCTCTGTGTTTTGGCAGGGTCAGAGCAGAGGATACTGGTCTCTCAAAGGCTCCAGGACAAACTAACTTTTCCTGGCGTCCTTCCACTACAGCTTTTTGATGCCACTGTATTTGAAACGGATGCTGCGATCGATGCCCAAAGCATTTGAATTCTGCATCAGCAGCTATCTGTCATGCTGTAATAAATGCACTGTTGATATTCTTCAGTTTGATACTTTTCTCTATGCGTTAGTCCTTTAGAGGCACAGATAACTGATTGCTTTTTTGGTTATCATTTTAAGTGCCTCAAACTTGAATTACTTTCAGATCTGATGGCATGAAGCTTGCAAATGCATTAAAAATCAAAGACTAGATCTTCTGAAGTGTTGTTCTAGCAGCCTGGGAATATGTAAACAGTATGTTATATGTTTATCAGTTGGACTGATAAAAACCAATGCACCCTGACTGCTGGAGATTGCTTAAGCTAGCTAATCAGGGCAGAGCTTACCGTTTTGAGAAAACTGAGACTTCCAGTCCCTTTATTCTACTGATAAAGTGACTGACTTTTCCTGGCCTCTTTAATTGGTTCAACACTCCCTTTGGCTCTGAAAGTTCTGACACTAAATACAATAAAAGAGGGGGCCATCTGAGATGTTAAGATATTTCTGTGTTAAGAGTAATTACGCCCATTTAATTGCAGTAATTAGTCCAGTTAATGAGGAACTTGGCTAAAGCAGTGTGTGAGTCAGACATAGCTGCTGTTTGTGAGGTTGTTTAGGTGTTGTGCTGTTTACATTTGATTTGATTTGACAGGGTGACGAACCCGCGGTTGGACTTTAGAGCTCTTCTGTCGCTACGTGAGATGCATCTCTGATCTGCCATGCCAACAGAGCTGTCCCCCTCATCTGAAACAGAGATGAAAAACCTCCATGTGTACAAACACATCCACACTATTTAACCAAAAATTAATTTGCAAACAGGCTGTCAATGCTTGGTGTTATACGACAAAACATTATACATGAAAGATACAATCTCTCTTCCATGGTGAGTTTTGGACATGATTTTTAAGCAATTGGGACCCAGCAGAATTTTTGGAAATGTATAGCATTTATTAGCATATGAATGTAAAAAAAAAATATATATATATATTATATTATAATTAATGACCTGAATATATTTGTCATATATTTCTTATGCTCTTGACACTATAATAACTTAAAAATATATTTATTTTATTTTATTCTTAATATATCATTTTTATTTTTTAATCATTCATATTTTATTGTCAGATCAGATGTCAGAACTATATCATTATAAAGAAAATGTAAAGACATTGTTGGCAAATTTTTACAACATTTTTAATGAACAAATCAGGCAAATGTCCTCTGTAACACAAATATAATTTAAAAAGTTTTTTTTAGATGCATGCTTAGCAGTAGCAGTGTATATATTTAATTTGTTCAGTCTAAATTAGTGTTTTTCAGATCTTTGAAATCTCATCTTAACATCTAAACATACATAAACATTTCTGAATGCTAACAGATAGCTGCTGAAATGTGATGTCACACAGACAGGCATCTGAGATCGGCTCGATTTGAGAAAGGGGAAAACATTTAACCAGATTACAAAAAAAACACTGGGTGGATTTTTAACATTATAGGGTGGTTGTGTACACACACTGCCAACACACATTTCAGTTCAAACAACTTGTAAAAGTGCATGTAGCATCCTATGACCCCTTTAAAAAATTATACAAATTTAAAAAAGAAATTGCTTAAAAACTATTTAAAATCCATTAAGAAGAAATAAGAAAAGAGAACAATACATAAATAAAAGTGCAATCTAAAGTCAAGTCAAGTACAATACTGGTTGTGTCAAAGCAGCTTTACAGAGTCAAACAGGAAAATAGTTTGTCAATAATGCAAGAAGACAATAACAAAGAGTCATTTTTCCAGCTAAAGTCAGTTCATTGATTATTCAGTCGTCATCCAGTTCAGCTCTCTTCCAATAGTGTTTGTGCAATAAAGAAAGTATCTTAAACTAAAGTAACTAAAACTGAAATTCTTAAAAACATTTTTGTTAATTGAAATTTTGTTAACTGAAATATAATTTATTTTAATATTTATTAAAATATTATATATCATATTCAACTCAATTAAAATTAGAAATGTTGCCTTGGCAACTAACTAAAATATGATTTATTAGAAGCACTGAAATTACTAACTGGAAAAAAAATGATATAAGAAAGTAAATTGAACCTAAATAGTAATATTTTAAAAGAACAAAAACTAATAAAATTACAAAAGCACATAACAAAATTACTAAACACTACAATTAAAACCGAAAATATAAAAATAAAAGCTAAGCAAAATATTAATATGCAGTTCACTAGGTTGTGAAACATTTTAGTGCAAATAGCCTCCTTGTGCATTTGTTTTTCAGAGGAGATCCAGATCTCCTGCCTTGAATCTTACACATAAAGGCCAAAGAAACTTGCTTGCTTCTGTTCTTCATGGTACTCATGAGCTGAACAAGTGTTTTTCATGCTTGAAAGCATCTTTATTTCACTCGAGTCCATCTGACCTTGGAAACAAAGTGTTCTCGATTTTCCAAGTTCAGGGATTGTGAAATGTATTTTATGAACAGTGCATGCAGGTCAAGTCTAGACATTCTCAGAGATGTTTAGAGGTTTAGATGTTTGTGAAACAATCCTTGGTGTTAAGAAGTCAGTTTCGCTGCTCTGTTGCCCAGCGTCAGTGTATTTTTACAGGTCGAGCCGAGCAACATCTCTCACCCTGTTACAGTACATATTCATACACTTTAAAACAATCCTCTGTGTTGACCCAGACGGACAGCCCGGGAAAAACCTGTATATTCATTACTCATCATTCATTGCATAAATTGATAATATCCAGTGGGACGTATCTAAAAGTTGTTTCCATGGTAATTTGCTGGAGAAGCGGCACCCATATAAACTGTGCAAAACTTGAGAAGTTAACAAGACACAAGGGGAATACATTCTACACCATTAGCACACGCCTTTTTCTCTCTTCCTTTCTTTCTGTCAATCCATGACTTGCTGTCTCAGGCGTTTCTCGTAAAATTCCATAGGATAAATAAATGAAATTGTGTGCATATACAGTATGTATATAAAAAATTATATGGATTACTCCGATAATTTGGTTTAAATGTTTGAATAAATTCATACTGCATTTTCAGATTTTTGATGCAGGATGTTTTTAGACATGCTACATTTTTTTCAAGATTATTTGATTAATAGAAAGTTCAAATGAACAGCATTTATTTTAAATATAAATCTTTTGTTACATAAATATCTCTACTTTTAAATCTTTACTTTGGATCAATTTAATGCTGCCTTGCAAAATAAAAGTATTACTTTTTTTAACTCGCTCTAGACTTTTGAATTGTACTGTATTACGGTTTCCAAGATCATAAATCACACAATATCGAATACGCATATCAAGCAGCACAACTATTTTCAACATTGATAATAATAAGAAAATGTTTTCTAACATTTCTAATGGATCATGTGACACTGAAGGCTGGAGTAATGGCTGCTGAAAAATCAGCTTTGCCATCGCAGGAATAAATTACATTTTAAAATATGTTACAACAGAAAACAATTCAGTTATTTTACGTTGTAATAATATTTCAAAATATTTATGTTTTACTGCAACCTTCAATGCAGCCTTCATGAGCATTAAAGGAACTTATTTTAAAAATATTAAAAATCGTAATTATTCCAAACCTTTGACCGGCAGTGTAATTAAGTATGAAATATAATTATGTACATATGTAGGCTTGTATTTATGTAAGGATATTAACTTCAGACATTATCCTTCTTGATTTTATGGTCTGGGTTGACGGGTGGATATTGAGCAAAGGCTTCTGGGAGACTTCGGAGCTCATCACAGAGCATCTAATCAGCCCCCTTCTCTCTCTCTAAGTTTTTAGCAACCTTGACCTTTCCTCTGCAATAAAACCTGCCTGTCAATCACAGATGTCTATCAGGACTGTCGTCTCAGAAGAGAGAAGCAGACAAAATAAGAGAGCAGAATATCAAGATTTTCTTCTCACATTGTATTTCAAAATGAAAATCCCAGCTGATTAGGAGTTCAGAACTACTGTGCACATGCATCTGACCTCACTCATATACTTGCATATTAATTTACTCCAAGAGATTAAAAAAATGTAAGCAGAAATAAAAAGGCATATGCAAGCGCATAGATAAACCAGTGTCTGTTTACTTTACCTCTGTTTGTTAGCTTTATGCCTTGTGATGTTTTCTCTTCCCTTCCATGGCTTTATTTGTTTCTGACAAGCTGTCCTTTCCTCACAGGCCTTTGTTCTTTCAAATAGCATGAATTATGCTTTCTCTCTCTCTCTCCTGTCACTCTGATCAAGTGTTTTCTGAAGAGTTTGGTGCAGAATGAAAGTGTCTTAGTGAGGCTGCCTATGAGATTTGAGTATTTGCACATGCGTGTGTTTTAGAAAGATAAATAAAGTTCTTGTGTAGCTGCGTAGCTCTTTTTCCCTCTTGTACAGAGAAAATCTAGAATTACCTAGAATTAATTTTACATTTTAGATTAAAGAAACAGAAGAATTTTCCTTTTTTTATGCTATAGGTGAGCTGTTATTTATAATATTACAGGCTATTCAACTCTTTCCTGCAATTCTGTAAACCTGCAGTCTTCAATACGAATTTGCAAGTCAGAGATGCCAAACTTGAACTTGATATCACAACGAAATTCGCACAAGCTTGCGTTTCCAGTCTTCCGAATGGATTATGTCTTAATTACATATTTCAAATGAGTACAAAAATCTAACAAATGTTTATTCTTTGGCTCGAATCACCTTAAAAGCTAATACAATCTAATATAACGTTTATAATATGTAACCTTTTCTATAGTGCAGAATGATAGTAGTGATTATCTAAATATGTTTTGTTTTATTACCCACAATGCTTTGTTTAAATCTCACTGCACAGATTGCACTGTAAAGGAATGGGAGAAAGTGACACTTTTAAGCATAGGAAAACAAAGAGAGAGAACGGTAAATAGGAAGAGAGAGATACAAAAAAGGAGAGGTGAATAACAAATCAAACCCTTACTTAGAAAGCGCAGACTATTTCTGATCTTATAACAATGTTCCTCTGGATTTACAGCATGCTTCAGGAGACGGATGGCCAAATAAGATCATTATTATTTCCTTGGGCATGTTCTCTCCCTCCTTCTGTGCAAACTGTCATGGGATAACCTCCTGAAAAATTGGCCTCACTAAACCTACAGGAGTCTAGAGCTGTTTGAAAACACTAGAGCTTTTCAATCCCGGTGCATTTCCCTTTGATATCGAACATGTATAGCGATGCTGTATTAATCATAGAACTGGATTTGAACGGATATGACGCTAAATTCAAACTCAGCTTAGATGAAATCCAGAGACAGCAGGGATACCTCAGAACGCAGGAAAGGGTTTTGTTGTTTATCTCTTTGATGAAATCAGTTGTTCTTCTTCAGTAAGCCCCAGAAGTTTATTGTCTGTAGCTGTGTTCCGATTCTCATGGTCCCTATGCAGTGTTCACTGCTCCCTACACACTGAGCAGGGGATATTTGTAGAACTTCACTTCACTTGCCAGAATTTGTTCATTTGGAATGCCCTGCAATGTCTTCAAACACTTAAGATGACACAATAAAACAAGATAAATATAATATTACCATTCTATCATACTGTATATATGTAAAACAAATTTAAAAAAATATATAATAATTTTATATGTACAGTATGCACATTCCCTGTCTATCTTATTTCACTTTTCCTTTGACTGATGGCTGTCATTCATCTTATGACGTAATGACTGTGCAGGCAGCAGTATCAGTAAGATGATGTTAATAAACTCATAATGCA